TCGTCTAATTTCAATTAATGTTAAGTATTTTTAGAATTGTAGATTGAGAAGACTTTTGGATTAGATATGAGCATTCAGCTTCTTTTATTTAATAAAGATGGCCTAAGATTTATTGAGATATACCTAAATGATTTTATTGTTAGTTATTAGTTCATCAACTAAAAAAAACAAAATAGCTAAATATTTGATTGAAATTACGTGTTCAAGTGATTAAAAATCCTTTGTTTTTTCAAAACATTTTCTATTCATATTGTGTATTTTAAATTATTTTTTGTTTATGTTTTATTATTTTGTTACATACAATTAAATAAAGTAATTTATTTATACGTTAACAGTTTATAATAAATAAGAGATTATTTGATGCTCTAAGCTAAGACATATAACATAACAATGTTAGACAAGACAGGTGTATTCTTTATTTTCGTTTGTTTTTTGTGCGTATAGATTGTAGAATTATCCATTTAATACTGCAGTCATAAAATTGAGTTACAATAGTGTTTATTAGATGTAATAAAAGGGAGAAATAAACTACACCATTAACTATAAATAATTTAACAAGTATAGCTGACATATTTAACAACTTCGCTAGTTGGTTCGAAATGAGGAAGTGGTGATGGAAATAACTTTAAATGTTTCCAATTTTCTAGAACGGTTTATTTTTTTAATTGCTTGTCTGAAATAAGTTATTGTTTCAATAAGTGATCGGTTTGGCTAACTCGTAACATGCAATGCAAAATACTTTTATAGCATTTTTATGGGCAATCTGCCTATTTCTAACGATAAATCCATTTCATAATAAGATGCTTATGATTAGGCTTCGGATAACACTGGTTAACAATGGTTTTGCCCATGAATGATGAAATACAAAAATAGGCAGTACTTGGTAAATAGTAATGATCAGTTATAATATTACAAGTGTCTTAGCTCGAGTTATCGAGCTATGCAAGTTTAGTCTTGTATTGCGTTCGCCGCACTCTCGCAAGTTTCGACTTGTTTGTTATTACAATACGGCCCTACTATACTAGATTTAATACATCATAAAGAACGTTAAGATTGCGCTGGCATTCGCTATCAAACACCGTTAAATACAATTAGTGTATGATATGGTAATAGCACTGTAACCTACAGCAACGTCTTAAGTGTATCAAACAAATTTTGTTTTTAGTTTTTATTGTGAAGTTTTAAGTAAAACTTTGTGAATTTATATTTTTGATATGCCTCGTTCCTGTGAAAGCAATCCTAACAATTTTTGTTACGTGTGTGGTAAATTCACTACAAAAAATACAGGGTTACACAAAGTATTGCTGTTTCTTGTGTCTTTGGGACAGTCGCGACAGGGAAAACCATTACGTAAAAAAAGTGTGGCCGTTACGAAAAGCTTTTACACCAGGAACTGAAAATGTTTTTTATCCACCTTTAGTGCAAAAAGAAAATATTATTATATCACCTCTGCATATAAAATTAGGATTGATGAAAAACTTCGTAAAAGCACTGAATCGCGAAGGTCAAGCTTTTCAATATTTAAAAAAAAGTTTACAAAAATGACAGATGCCAAGTTAGAAGAAGGAATTTTCATAGGACCTCAAATAAAAGAATTAATGAATGACAAGACTTTTGAAAGCACATTGAATAGAAAGGAAAAACAGGCCTGGACATCCATGATAAAAGTTTTTCAAAATTTCTTGGGTAAAAAAAAATCTGAAGACTATGAAAACCTGGTTAAGAATATGATCCAAGCATTGTACGCTCTCGGTTGCAAAATGTCCCTCAAAATACACATTCTCGACTCACATTTGGATTTTTGTCCTGAAAATATGGGAGATGTTAGCGACGAACATGGTGAACGTTTTCATCAGGATATTTCAGGCATGGAACAGCGATACCAGGACAAATGGAGTCCTGCTATGTTAGCAGACTACTGCTGGACGTTGAAGAGAGAGGCTGTAGATATTATTTATAAACGGAAAAGCAATATATTAACTCATTTTTAAATTTTATAATATGTGATTTATGAATATAATGTTATCTTAAGTCAAAAGATTTTTATTTGATTCCACAAAAAACGCGAGCTAACTCGACCTTAAAACTTACATCAAAATGTATGTTTAGAGGTATTCTTTCGCAATTAGCACAACTCATTTCATGGATTAACAAAACCTTAAAATTTGTTAACCAGTGTAATTATGCATTAAAAAAGTACAAAATATGCATGCAAATATGCATTTAAAATACTAGATATGTGCATTTAAATATGCTTTCAAATGTCGTTTTTTAGATTGAAATAAAACAAATTTTAAGGGTAATATTTGTCTATTTATAATTTTACATATTTTTGCTGTTACATTTTATTACAATACCCATGATATAACAAGTTTTCAAATATAAATTTACGGCGATTGTCAGATAAAGTATTTTTAATTTCTGAAAAATATCTTTGCACGTCACAGGAAGCTATAGGAACAAATGATAAATCAACTACGTTCGTAATATTCAAATTATTGGGATTTCTTCCTCTTGTAAAACCTTGCAAATGTTTTTTAAATTTTGATATACCGTATTTTTTTGCAATACTGACGACAGTTTATTAGCAAAACTGCTATTTTTTAATTTATTTAATTTATCAAAAACATTATCGACAATCTGTTTACTATTTTCTAAATAGAGTCCTTTCGTTTCCAATTTCAAAATAGCGTCAGAAATACAACTAAAATTTAATGAAAATGAAATCTTCGGGCAATTTTCTCCCTCTTAATGCATTTTGTGATTTCTCGACGCACTGCGATTCCTTAGGATCGAAATCGTTAATAATACGGGCAATAAGTTCAAAATGTTGAGCGTAATAGGTTGCAGCTTTAATCCAGGTGCCCCATCTTGTAACAATTGGGGATGGCGAAAGTGGAATCTCACCACCGGCAATTTCTTTGAGCTTAAAAACACTTTCTTGGTCGACGATATTAAGAAATTCACATTTGTGTAAACGGAACGCAACCCGTAGGGGGTTGAGTAAGTATTTCACCTTGGTAAGCGTATATTATCCTTGCAAACAAGTTTTAACTACGAAATATGCAGATAAAACTTAAAATGACCAAAATATGCACTTTAACCAAATAATGGGTTAAATATGCAGTAATGCAAATGCATAATTATCCGAACCCTACTTATGATAAGTACTATTAATTTTATCCAAGTGTAGAATTTTTACACCTGGATGACCAAGCTAATCTTCATCAATAGAAAAAAAAAACAAGAATTCTGAAATTCTGATTAATCACGAGAGCAAATTGAATATAAAATTTTACGATGAGTATAGGTATGATTGGTTTTTGATATTTTCAGTGTTTTTAGACGTTAAATCTAAATGTAATGATCAAAAATCTGTGAACGCATTGATTATATAATTGATGCCAACAGTTAGGGTGAACGTAGGGAAAGATGATGCTACTAAAATTTAGGAGATTCCATAAACGCAATATATAATTATTATAAATCTCTAGACTGAATACATGAACAAACGTGCTTCCGTATAGCAATTCGAACACACAAGAAGGTGAAAATTACTGTTACATACAATATTAAATTGCTGAAAAACTTCAGTAATTGGCAAAAAACTTGAACTCCTAAGTTTGATTAATATTAATCACTACATAGTATAAAACAAAGTCGCTTTCCCGCTGTCTGTCCCTATGTATGCTTAAATCTTTAAAACTATGCAACGGATTTTGATGCGTTTTTTTTTTAAGATAGAGTGATTCAAGAGGAAGGTTTGTATGTATAATACATGCATAATATAGTAGGGAAACGCTGATAATTTTAGAGGTTTCTAATGTGATGTCGTAAATAAACACATTTTTTGCGCTTACATTGCAAACGCTGGCAGAACCCTACGAGATAGATCAAAATAATGTACTACAATATTGTACATCTTAAAAGGGTCTACAAAAAAGTCCGCGATGGTATATGTCTATCTCTTAGGGATAACCCACAATAACCATTT